GTTAAAAATACTTATCAGCTTTTCATTGGTCCACGTCATCGCTGAGATGGCTGCAAAGTTTTGGTGCCAACACACACACACACACACACACACACACAAATATATATATATATATATATATATATATATATATATATATATATATTCCTTTGATTTTTATTACAATTTGTAATTACTATTAAAATCCAAACTCTGTTTAAGAATCTAGATTTATTCCAAGTCATTTGAATTAAATAATTTCTCGTTACTGTTAAGACCAAAAAATGAGCAAATAATTACAAAAATAGATTTGTTAAAAATCACATTCAAAAGTCACCAACTCAGACCTAATGCGAACAATATTAAAAAAAAAGGATTGCATGTCTCATGTCTATTGAAAGGGGAAAAATTATTTAGAAGTTGATGAAGTTTCTAAACAGATTAATAGAGTGGGGAAAGATGGGTTAGGTTAGAAAGATAAGAACATGGGTTAGGCTATGTTTGGTTAGGTTAGAAAGATGATAAAAAGTAAAAGAGAGGGTGTAAAAGTCTTATTAATGCAAATAGTGTTTACAGGCTAAGATAGTAATTTCAATCAAGGGATTAATGTCCCTTAAAAAAAATATTGATATATAACGCAAAATTCATGCTTCACCAAACTTTCTACTTTAATTCAAAAAAAAAATGAACTTTATTAACTGCAGGAAAAGTGAATATATATATATATATATATATATATATAAAGAAACAACAATGCATTATGGAGGGCCATCCAAAGAATAAATAAAATAAATAAATAAAATATAAAACCATGTCTGAATCGTCTGATCAAAGTTGAACGCCACAGACGATGAAGGCGTATTTCAGTAACCTGGACTCCAAAAATAGAAACTTCAACTGAAAACATATTATTGCAAGTCATAGAACTGGGATCCCATATTATATATAAAATAAAATTGGAGACTCCAAAAAATTGACAATTCCACTCAAAATATTCCGTCATCGTATGCAAAACATACATTAGGGAGGCCAACCAAAGTAAAAAAAAAAAAAAACTACTGACAAGATTGAAAATAACATGACACAAATAAAACCGAAGTTCATGATATGACACCATATTGGTACATGGTATTAGACACCCAAAATAAATAAAAAAACTAGCATCGTATAGAAATTTAACCTTAAAAAGAATTAGAGAAAAAAATAATAGTAATAAAAATAAAAAATAAAATAAAATCCAATATAATATTTGTAGTAGAGAACCAACCCATTTTTTTTTTTTTCTTTTTTGGCTATGCAAATAATCGAACTTGCTGCTGTCCCATCGCTGGACCTTCTTCGATATCAGAGACATCTTTAGACAAATTGAACAGCAGCAATTTCGAATATGTGCATAACCACATTATTAATTAAGATCAAGGATCATAGTTGTCCCACTAGTTTATGGAGTCCGGCCAGTCTTCTGAAACACTTGGTGTATGTATAGAGCCTTGTTGGGGTGTGTGTGCGTGTGTGTGGTGTATGTATAGATTGGCGGGCTTAATACGCTATTGAATATGTGATAAAGATAATCTTTTGGCTAGCTTGGAGACCATTCCACAATCCATAACTTGGCTTTTACACTATTTCAGTACCTAGCTACCAGATTAATAGCTCATGTGAAGCAATGGTTAATGATATAATAATGTGGGTTATATCAATCTGAAATTCTGAATAACCTTATCAAAGATATGGTATGTGGTATATGATATATGCTGGATGGTGCATGTATAGATCGAGTGGCGGGTTTAATTAATACGCGATTGGCTAAGGTGCATGTAACTTTATGTCACTGTAATGTGATGATAGATAATCTTCGGCTTAGAGACCACTCCACAAACCAGAACTTAGGTTTTACGCTATTCAAGTTCTCCTACAGATTAATGGCTCGTGTCAAGCAGGTTAATGAGATAATAAAGTGTGTCATATCAATCAAAATTATCTTAAATTTGTTTTTAATTGGACTAAACCATCAATTAATCTATTATATATGGTCCAGAAATATTCTAATTAAATAATTGAGTTGTGAACGTTCACGCATGATGAAAGTAGTAATGCAATGCCTTTACAATTGGTTCCAACCTTTGTCTTTTCTAATTATTGGCATTTGCTGCGAAAAGTTTGATATAATTTCTTAACTTACTATATACAAATATATATGTGTGTGTGTGTTTAAATTAGCTAAGTTATACCAAATCAACCATATTATTAAAGAAAATTAACTCTGTTATAAACTGAAAGAAGAAAATTGAGAATTTCACTTCATTCCATTGTACTATGTTTTAATTATTTAAAAGGCGGAAATTGGAATATATTATCAAAGGGTTTTTTTTTTTTTTTTTTTTTTTTCCTTAGAGAACATTTATTGCAAGGCACATAATTATTATAATGGAAAATATGTATATATCCAAGACTGACGAGTATTGAGTGGTGAGTGGTCGAGACCCCAAAAGGAAAAGGGCAAAAAAAAATCACAGGAAAAAGAAAAAGAAATTGTAAACTCGAAAAAATTGACAATTTTACTCGTGTTGTGTTTGCGATGGCGCTTTGAATTTAAAATTATAACAAATTTAATAGTTGAATTTAGTTTTCAATGAATTTTTTGTAATTCTAAATCCAAACCTTTAATTTAGAATTGGAACTAATTTACTTTAAAATTTTACTAAATTTTCCCTAATTTAAAATCCAAGCCATTTGATTTTTTCAAACATAATATAAAATATTTCATTATTTTATGGAACAGCCATACATTAAGTAAGCCCAACCAAAGTAGAGAATAAAAAGAAAAAAAATAATAATAATAATATCTATTTACTCCAATATAATTAATATCAAAGACCAGAGTCGTTCCCTCCCAAGAGGCTTCTGAAACAATTGGTATATGTTATAGGTATAATCAAGCTTAATGTATACGAAAGACTGAGAGATAAGGTGTATTTCATTATCGTATGCAACAACCATACTACATTGAGGAGGCCCAACCAAAGTAGAGAAAAAAAATCTGAACGTAACATGCCATAAATCAATATCAATTGAAACAGTATTTAACCAAAACGTGACACAAATCAAATCAAATTCATTCAATGGAGAACATATTTTTGCAAGCAAAACCAAAGAACGGCACAGGTACAATTCATCTACACCTCATATTATTGTATATGATATATTAGACACCCAAAATTAAAAAGCTAGCGTCGTATACAAATATAACTAAAAAAGAATTAGAAAAATATCCGATATAATATTTGCAGTAGAGGAGGACCAACCTTGATAGAGTACTCCTATGCCAATTATGTCCCTCACCTGCGAATCTAAACTGGCTATGAAAATAATCGAAGCTGCTGCTGTTCCATCGCCGGACCTTTGGCGATTACATGTATTTAGACGAATTGAACAGCAACAATTTCGAATATGTGCATAACCACATTATTAATTAAGATCAAGGACCATAGTTGTCTGTCTAGTTTAGTGAGTCGAATCTTCTAAAACACGTACTTGGTGTATGTATAGAGCCTTGTTGGTGTGTGTGTCTATATATATATATGTGTGTGGTGTATGTATGGAGTGGCGGGCTTCATAAGCTATTGAATATGTGATAAGGATTATCTTTGGCTTGGAGACCACTCCAAAAACCATAGCATGACTTTTACGCTATTTGACCCCTAATGGTTAATGGGAAGTGCAAAAGGGGAACGATAAAAGGAAGAAGTGGAATAAAAACACTTTTAACAGGGAACAATAAAAGGAAAGAAGTGGAATAAAAACACTTTTACAGGGGGCAAAAAAGAAAGAATAACAAACCCATAATTCCATAATGTAGGATGTCTATATATATATATGGAGCATATATTTTGAAATACAATTACAATATCTACAATGATTTTCTTCATTAGGATTGGCACTAATTTCAAATTGTAGATTATGCACCTTACATTATGTGAAATATAAACCCTTTATTTATATGACGTTTCTACAAAATGTATTTGAATAATGTTATTTGCTCGGTGCATGTGTAACAATGGAAGAATTACATGGTAAATTTACCAATAAATAGTTTATGTTTGATGATATGATCGTTGCATTTTCCCGAACATTTAATGCTAATTAAAAACTTAATATATGTTGTTTCCATTCATTTTACTTTTTTTTTTACTCACTATTAAGTTCCATATGTATCCACTCGTGTCATTCCCTTTGGTTATATTTGGTACAGTGAAGAAGAAATAAATAAATAAATAAAGGAATAATACTCCCAACAGTTGGGAGATAAAATAAAAGAAAATGAAGGAATATTATTAATCTGCTGGCTCACCTAAAAAAACATATTCCAAATTTGAGAATTCCAAGTGCATTCGTTGCTTCTAAACACAATTTTAGTCTATTTACATCTAAAATTTTGATACAAAACCATTCTAGTGTATATAACATTTATATATATATATATATATATGGTTGAATGGGTGTACTATATACACCGTATTTATATTGTATGTACTAAAATAAATTTAAAAGAACAAAGACCAGTGAGTTGACTAGACTATGGAAAAAGAAGACTCCATAAAAAGCTTCAATAAAAAGCTATTAGAAGAAGGAATTGATGCGTTTGTCTATATGTTTAAAGAGAAAATTAGTATGTACATGTAAATCCGTAACATTAACAACATGAGCAAATTGTACATGCGAAGATATGAGCAAATTGTACCAAAATATATGTTCAACCCTTAATATACACTTAAAACTGAAACCAGAGTTTTTATATTTTTATTTTGTTCAGCCATTATATGGTTTATTTTTATTTTGTTCAACCATTATATGGTCGTGAACCATTGGTCTTCCAATCACTAATCGACACGAGTAAAAACTGGCACATAGCCAGTGAAACAGGACCATATTAGAATCTCACCACTTAACCACCTCACTCATAAATATGGGGACAGCGGACGGGTTTTAACCTTCAATGAAGAAAAGTTTGGCCATCCCAGTGAGATAGAAAAATATATCAATATATCCACGGCCACCCAATTCCATAACCAAAATAAAATACAAACATATTCTAAACAGTCAATATATTCTTACCCATATGAACCAAAAAACAGAACTTGTATCACCTTCTAATTATAAAATTTTGCAAATATGAATCTAAAAAAGGAACAACAAACCGAAGACATGGTGCGAACACAAAACAAAACCCATTTAATCTCTAGTGTTGGTGCTATTCAATCCTCGTCCTCCTCGTCGCCATCTCCACCAGAAGCTTTCTTGGAAGCTGCTTTTTGGTTCCTTCGCTTGACTCTTCCAGGGCGACCACCTCCCAGTGGACTTGTAAGGGAGAAATCAATGTGTTTCTGTGAGTCCACCCTCACCATGAAAGATGCTATGTTAACCACCTGTCTTCCAACCCTGGCCAGGGAAAAAGTTTAGTCATGATGCAGCATCCCCAGATTTCAAAAAAAAATATACAACCTTAAAAAATAATATAATATTAAAAGTTTGATATACAAAAGCATCTGGTGATTATCAATAACTTTTTGCAAGAAATTCTAGCAGTTCAAACAATCAAAGACCTTCTGAATTGATAGGTTATTGACTCTTGTTTTGGCATATCATACTCAAACTTGGGGTTGTAAGTTTGAACAAAATGTCTTGTGTTGTCTGTTCAATAATTTAAACAAGCACATTACATATTCAGGTTAAGGGTAAGATTTGATCTTTTCACACGTCTAAAAGTGCTTTGATCGAGAAGTCAATCAATGAGGCCTCTTCGGCATATTGTTCAAATGCTACTAGAATAAGTTCGATTGCTCAAACTTGGCAATTGATTGATCAATCAGGACAAATTTATTTGGAAACTCTTTAAAGATCAGAATTTTAATTGATTAAATTTCCCTATTTCATCAATCTAGGGTATGAGATAAAACATATTATCTTTTAGAAAAAAAATGTTTTGAGTATCAATCTAGAGTTTTCAAAGTGATACAAAGCAAGGAACAAATCCAAAATTCATCAAGCAACCATTAGGGCAAGCTTATGGTGATCAAATTTGTACTAGCAGATTAATTGGAGGAGGATAATGTGTCGTGAATTTGAGTCGGATGTAAATAATGGAATCTTAGGGCTAGAGTATGGTAACTTAGTTGTGTAAACATTTCTCTGCATTGAATTACTTATGACTAAACTGAGGGTCCCGTGGTTTTTTCCATTATAGAGTTTTCCATGAAAAAACTGCTCTACTTTAACTAATTTATCTGTTTGTGAATGCTATCGATTCACTTGGATAACTAAATGAGGGCAAGCCTTAGTGCATCGGCAAGGTTGCCCCATTGTCACCTGGAAGTCAAGGGTTCGAAACATATAAACAGGCTCTTCTCCACGCACCGGGTTTGCCCTCACGTGAATAACTAACTAAACTAAAAAATTGAACTAATATTAACTGAAAATTGAAAAATTAGTTATTCAAAGAGAAGATCCATAAGACCCATTTGCCCCCATTTACATCTAAATTGAGTCGTGTGTAATTTATCATATCAGAACTGCTCCATACTTTTATTCATTTGATTCCCAAGTTCTACTTAACCAAAAAAAAAAATTTTGATTCCCAAGTTCTAAGCTAGGTTGTAGCAGCATTATCCAAGACAGAAATTTTCAACAGTAAGACAGAGAAGTTAAAATCAGACACATTATAATGTGTGTGTGAATTTATATATATATATATATACGTACATATATATAGAGAGAGAGAGAGAGAGATTTCTAAATCGGTCATTCAGATGGAAGAATGTCTACTGGAAATCCCCCTTAACCATGTAGTGCACTTGCACGATAACCAATTCCAACAAAGAGCTCATCATTGAAATACATAATTGTAAATTCTCAACTACATATCTAAGATAAGCTAGACTAGAAAGTATTATTCTTAAGATATTAATATGAAGTTCAAAATGAACTGAAGTTACTGGATACAGTAATACAATAAAGCATGCACAGAATGCTGATTTATAATAATCTCTAAACATCAGACCATAAGCAAATCAGATCAAAACAGTAGTCTCAGACCTTCAATACCAATGTTTCAAATATTATGTAATTTATACATGTTTCCCAGATCTTAAACATTGAATTCCATTGCCGATGAGCGAGGCTTGAGTTCGAAAAATGAAACAAAAAGGCAGACATCTCAACTTGTCAAATTTTTTTTAGCAAAGCACGTTTCTAGAGAATGTCTGGAGACCCAGAAAAAGATCTCTAAGACACAACCACTAAAATTGCTTGGCTTCTTTTCTGGCTCAACATAGCTCTCAAACAGTTTAAAATGAGAAAATAAATAATCCGGCTATTTCCGTAATTTGTGTGGTTTATCATTGAACCTAAAGGGCAGTGTTTGAATTTAAAAAGTTGCACATATCGTCATCTTGAAGAAAGAGGACATTAAGGCACATAATCAATGCATCAAATCCCATAGATTTTTGCCCACTGTTTCATTTAGGATTGCAGGGAATTGACTATATGATATCAACAGGTTTTCATTTCATTTCCTTAGATGCTCTCCATGAACCATTCGCATCTTTTTAGAGATCATTTATATAACCAGACACCATACAACTAAAATCACTATGACCTTTTGTTTCATCATGGTTCTTGGGCAACTCATACAACTCATTATCCTATTCTTCGTTGCCAACTCCTGTTTAATTAATTAGTATCTTAGAACAATGGTATACATATCTGTTTCTAAGGTGTCATCTCTGTGTCGGTCATAGCACTCCTGGACACAATTCTGACACTACATCGCTGTGTCCATAATTTTATTATTTCAAACACTTGGCCGACACAACTTGGACACTTGGTCGATACATTCCAAACACTTGACCAACACATTCTACACTCTTCATCATATATAAAACAAATACATGACAATTCTAGAAAAAAACATTATGAACGTACATCAAAGTGTCAAACTTCTTCTTTTTTTTTTAAATAATTAACATTAAACACGTGCCACATTATGTAATGAACAAAAATATAACTCTAATAACAAGATAGGATGCAAATATCATATATAATATAATGTGTTCTTTTTTATATTCTACTAGCTTCATCTTCTAACTTATGTAACTTAAGTTTCAAAATTATAAATTAATTAAAGTTTCATATTTGTCTTGCTCAATACACATAAAAATGAAATTAAATTATATTAGCCACGTTCACACCATGTCCATGTCCTACATCTTTAATAATTTGACATGTCAGAGCATCTGTATCGTGTATGTGTCCATGCTTAGGTTTCTAAGCAGAAAAAATATGATCGAGGATTCAAGGCTCCCAATGTAGTGTTCGCCTTAAAATTTGAATTTTGTTTCTTGAAAAGAAATACTAAGATTGGTAAGGACTGAATGAGATCATCAAGAAACCAATATTTCTCCAATAAACCAGACAGTAGAACAGCGAATCAGCAAACACTTGACACGGTAAATGGATTGCCTGAGTTAGGAAATTAGGCACAGTGATTTATTTTAAAAAGAAAATCCTCTATATTTTCATTGAAATCTTGTGGCAATTATTATGAAAGTAAGAATTAGTGGTGGATGGATCTATTATGGGTCATTAACAATGCGAGTAAAATAACTGTAAAATGGTTGTTGAGTCAAATCGAATAAAAAAAAAATGTAGATGGAATTCAAGTTGAAATAAGGTTTCCATTACTGCCAGTTCAGTTCAGAATCCAGAAAATGTCATAAAGCATATAAAAACTTGAGGAATTATAATGATAAGCACCTAACACGAAATCATTGATATTAGTTAGCATTTCCATAGTGGACATTCCAATTCTCCAAGATGCAAAAGATAAAAGTTTCACAAAAGAAAATTACACAAAATTTGACAATGTCCGCCATTGTTGGATTCTGTTGTAAGAATATTTGCTATAAGGCAGGGTAAATTTTCAAAGTTTATAAACTACATTTTCATTTGAAAAGCTCAAAGAACTATAAACTCTATGAACATGGTTCACGATAAAACATTAAATTAAAGCAGGACACCTTGGATTCAACTTCAACTAAGTACTAATGGTTGTATACTTGTATATTTACCTGATATGCCTCTGCCTAATAAGCACACGAGCATGATGAATGGACTTTGCCATGCCCGTCTTGAATACGAGTGTTTGAAGTCGGCGCTCAAGGAAGTTCTCCACAGTCAAAGCTAGGACATAATCAAGTTTGTTTTGGCTCTCATCCAACAGACCGTACCTGTTCATCCTGCGAAGAAGAGCCTCACCCTCAAAGATCCGACGAGGATTTTTCTCATCAAGAGTGAGAAGCATCCTTGCATTATTACGGATGCGGCTTAGTGCATACTGGACCCTCCACAACTCCCGCTTACATCGGAGTCCGTACTCTCCAACAAGCTTCAGCTCCGCATCTAAACGCTCCTTCTCATATGGACGGCGAGGCTTCTTGAATGTCTTCCCATCTAAAACCATCCGATATTATTCAGTAAGCTAATAACTTTGAGAGAAAATAGTGACACCATAAAAACTGATAAACCCTATATTGCACACAATTTAGTTAAATCAAATTATACGAATTAAATTATATCGCTGAAACAGAATATAATTCAATCACAAATTCACAATATATTTCATACCATTTTGAAAGGAAAAAGAAAAAAATAAATAAATAATTAGCTATTATAGAAAATAAAGCAGTCATGTGAGAACAATTTTGAACCCGGAAACTAAAGATCGATTCGAAAACTTATAGCCTCAATGTTTCAACGATTGTGACGAAACATTTTAGATAACATACAACTTAGGTAAGATAGATAACAAAATTTTAAACGCATATAGTAATCAGAGAAATTGAATGACTGAGCACAGAACTATAGAACCAACCACATGGACGTATCAGACCAAGGCATGATACAAGCTAATGCAAATAGAACAAGTTGCAGGGATCAAATGCATGTAGATTGTTGCAGAAATGGAGATCAGAACACTTGAAATCTAAACCCTGAACCTAAATACACATCTGAAACGTGAGTGATTAAATGCGTGTGTTTGTGTGACCACGTACATATACATACATTTACGTATATATACAGAGAGAGAGGTCTTACAGTTTCGATAAAAATTGACGTGAACCATGGCTTCGTCTAGTTGCCGTCAGGAGCGAAGGAAGACGAAGCGCGAGAAAGGAGAAAATTTTCCAAGCCTTCGAATATCGGCAAACCCTAGAATTATATTTACGGACTTTAATTTGGATTCGGATGCTTATGGGCCAACCGGCCCAATTGAATAAAAAAAATAAAAAATTAATATTTTTATTTAGTATTCTCTGCTGCAGAATGCACAATACTTTTCTTAAATTACAAAAAATAAGGAATTCAGTCCCATATTAGTGCTAATAACCCTATTATTATTTGAGCATCTTAAACAAATCACTGATTAGGAATTTCAATTTTCAAAAGTAAAAACAGACCTAAGAGGTCACAAACCTAAAGGGCAATGGTTAAGAGAACAGAAAATTTATTACCTAGTCCATAATTATATGATTTCAGTCTATCACAATTTTAGTAGCAAATAAGTATGAAGGCTTTGTTAAATTTTTGTTTCCGTGTGTGATTGCCCAATTCATGAAAGAATCGAAAAAATTTCCCATCTAATCAAAATTCGAATGTTGAGACATCGTGGCAAATCACATAACTCAACTCTGTAATTCTAAACCATGTAATAATTTTTTTTATAAAATTCAGAGCCTAGACAAGTGTAACGGGTGGGCGCTTACTCATTTATCCAAAAGTTTAAATTGAGTTGTTCGGTGATGATGCATACTCACCCAGTTCTACTCAATTACTCTTCCATCCGAATCCGATGTGAAACATATATCTCTTTGTAATAACAAGTTAATCGATAGCAAATTTCATAAGCAAGAATCTCTATATTGTTCAGAGTTGTCGCCTAATTAATATAAAGTTTAAATATAAATTATTATGTTATATATATATATTTGAAATGTGAATTTAAAATTTTAATTAAATATTTGACATGTTTGAGAGTGAAAAAGGTGGTGGTGATCAAAGGGAGTGGAGTGGGTGGTGCATCTGGTTTCTAATTTCCTTTCTTTCCTTTTTTTTTTTCTTTCTTTTTTTTCTTAAATAAAATTAAGCAGATTGAAATTAAAAAGAAGATTAAAGTATTGAATGTATCGTGAGAGTTCTATTTCTATTTTTTATAAACTCTAAATTTAAATAATTATTAAATTATTTATTTATTTTTAAGTTGTAAATAAATATTATTTTAAACTATAGATTTACATTTGGATATTTAATTAAAATATAATTAATATAAAGTTTAAATATAAATTAGGGTTAAAATCATAAAATTCCTACTAATTTCAAATTTTGATCATAAATCCCAACCTATTTCAGAAAACTTCCTACACTTTAAAAAGTGATCACGTTGCCCTAATATCCGTATCCGACCCGTTAACGGAGCTATAAAATAACAAATTTAACCTTACTATTTAATATTAAATTAAAAATTATTTTTTAAATTTACAAAAATACCCTTTAATCTTCTTCTTGACCTTCTCTGTCTTAAACATAATTTTTGTAACCCTCTCTCTCTAAAACATAAAAGAGTAAGGTTAAATTTGTAATTTTAAAAAATAATTTTTAGTTTTTTATTTAACATTAAAGAGTAAGGTTAAATTTGTCATTTTATAATCCGGTTAATTGGTCGGATACAAATATTGATGCAATATGATCACTTTTTAAAAGTGTAGAAATTTTCTGAAATAAGTTAGGGTTATATGATTAAAATTTGAAAATAGTGGGGGTTTTATGATTTGAAAATAGTGGGGGTTTTATGATTTTGATATGTGAATTTAAAATTTTAATTAAATATTTGACATGCCAAAGGGTTATAGCGGTCACATAGGAGGGTAATTTTGGAATTATAAAAAAAGGCACATGCTTCATAAGTTGGATGGGAAGTGGTCAATTTAAGGGAGTAAGAGCATCTTCAATGCTAAAATGTGAAATTCGGATGCCAAATTTATATTTTGACAGTGCTACAGTGTCAAAATGTTACATTCTAGTAATAGATGAAAATGCTATTTTTTAACAGAATCACTATTCTTTTTCAACTATCATTCCTACCATTCATATTCAACTATCATTCCTACCATTCATATTTGCTTCAGTAATGTTAATATAGACACATTCCAAGTCAAGTTGTAGACTTTAAAAGGAAACTAAAATTAAACTTAATTAATAATAATAAAAAATCTAAAATATCTGATTAAAAAAGAACCCAATAATATATATATATATATGTATAAATTTATATATTTGATTATATTATTATATAATTTTTTTATATAATTCTTTTTCCTTTTTAGGAAATTTATATATATATATATATATATATATATATTATATATATATATGTATATTATATATATTATTATTATTAAAAATATATATATATATATTTAGGGCAAATCATTTCAGCCTCCCAAATAGCCATAAAAATTTTTAGGGCAAATCATTTCAGCCTCCCCAATCGCCTCCATCTCTACTCTCGCTAGAACTTGCCCCCTCTCTCTCTCTACAAATGCAAACTACAAAATCTACTTGCCCCCTCTCTCTCTCTCTCGCTCTCTCTCTCTCTACAACTGCAAGCTACAAAATCTACAAGAATTTCAATTTATCTATTTGTCTGCAAGAATCCAAAATTCAAAACCTATTACCTATATCAAAACCCATATCTCTCTCTGCTTACTCTCTGTATATCAAATTTCAGAACTTCCCTCTCTCACACACATTTGTGTGAAAAGCAACCGTTGGATCTCTGAAGTTAGATTATGAGTATTAGTGTTATTTAATAGCAACGATGGGAAAGGGGAAGAGCGAGAGGGAATTGGTGGCGTTCAATTGGTGGCGTTTCCGATGTCGGAGTTTTCCGATGCCGTTGAATCTCTCTCTCTCTCTCTGTTGCCTGTGATGGAAATAGGATTCAGTCCGTTGCTTTCTGTGGCCCCAGCTCATATAGCAATTGCTATATATTTTGTTACAATTGACATAAGAAATGACAAAGTTAAAAAGTAACAGTCCAAATAGCATTGTATTGATGAGTCTATTTTGAAACTCATCTGCTATATTTTAAATTAGCAGCCCAAATAGCAGTCCCAATAGAGATGCTCTAATATGCTCACTTTTGGAACCCCTTTGACTAACATGTTCACTTGAGAGTATTTTGTTCATGGACAATATTTGGGTCCAACCCAGGTTGGATGAAGTTCCCCCAACCTGGGTACGTGGCCCAATCACATTGGGGCGTGTGGCTGTAATTAATATAAAATTATATTGGGCATTGCCCACCTTTCCGGGTATAACCAGTTCTTCTCTCCATCTCCATCCCCAATTTTCAGAACTCTACGCATCAGACTGATAGTTATTTTTTGCTTGCTCCATCTTCAATCCCCAAAAGAAGTACCACCCAATCACAAAGTTGGCCCGCAAACACAAAATTCAGCCACCCATAGCAATCAACAACCAAATCAAGCAACCAAACAGCAACCCCAAACCACCAATTCGCAACCCCAATCATCAATTTAGAGCACTGCAACACACACCCACAAGCTTCACACAACAGCGTCCGCTACAAGCCGTGACCGAGGAAGGATCCAACCCGAATCGTACGCACACCAAGGCACTGAAATTGGATGCTCGCCGTGACTGCAACTCCCTAGCCTCCATTTTCTCCTATGTTCTTGGTGTCCGTCGGCCACAGTTCGAGGAGGAAGAAGGCGACGACAGTTCGAGGAGCATCCATGTAACAATCTGCCATGCTTGATTCATCGCCGGACTGAACTCGTCTCCCACTCGCCGTCACTCGCGCACGCGAGTAGATCTAACGTGTCTTTCACGCGCACACACGCCCCTTCTTCTTCGGGCAACGAGGTCTTCGTCAACCTCTCCGTTCTCTGTGCCGTGAAGTTGTCGATTGTTCTCTCTTATCTTGCCGTCAATCTGCCGGGATTTCCGAATTCGGCCGTGGTCTCCAACAGCCACCAATCCAACACTACTCGCTCTATCCTCTCCATGCTCTTCTTAGGCCACCTCGTCGACACCGGACTACACCACCGACCTCAACTCCGGTTGCTTCTTCGCCAACAGCCACCAAACGAGAATCGGATATGAGGCAGCCGAATATGGAGGACTTGAGAAGAGAGGAGGAGGAAAGATGGATGATGAAATGGGTTTCATGAAATAGGAACGGGTTATACCCTTAAATTGGTGGGCAACGCCCAATTTAATTTTATATTCATTACAGCCACATGTCGCAATGTGATTGGGCCACAAATTCAGATTAGATTGGGTTGGACCCAATATTGTTCTTTATTCATATAGTGTGAAAATTTAAGGGGTATTTCTCATTTTTGCCAAAAAATAATAATAATAATAATTAATTGAAGCTAGAGTTATTTAAGATAGGAACTGTGAATTACATATACTATTCCATGTGTTCCACTGGCTGAACAACAGCCGGTAACTAGTAAATTCAATTGAGATTATTTTAAATTTTTTAATTTTTTTTATTTTTAAATTTTTTTTTTTTAACTTCCGAAAAAAAAAATAAAAAAATTTGACGATTTTTTTTTTTTGACATGTGTGAAATTTAAGGGGAAAAAAGGTCCGCTTCTGAGGCCGATTCTTTACTGATTTAAGAAAGAACCGATCAGAGGGGAAAGCTGGATAGACTTTTCTTCCTACTTGACTTTTACTAAACAAAACCAACGTTTTCCCTACCATGACCAAAGTATCAAAACCAAGTATCATTCGATAAGTGCAAACAAATTACTTAGAGGGATGGTTGTGTACCCAATAAGATTTTTTTTTTCTTTTTTTTTTTATTCATTTTTTATTTCATGCTTTATAGACTTATTTGCAATCTGGACAATTTTATAGACAGAAATCAGGTGCTAAGGGATGCTGATTTTGAGAAGGATGAATGTTGCTGATTTTGAGAAGGATGAATGTTGCTGATTTTGAGAATAGTATATGGCAAAACTAGGAAATGATACATTTTTAGCAAGTTTTGGAGTTGAGGTTATTGAGTCAGAATTGTCCTTTTTCCCTTTAGACCACTAATTTAAGATTAAGCAAAGTTTTCGTTCAACCATTTATGTAAAATTAGATAAACTGATGACAGGAACAGTCGCTAATTGCTAATTGCATTTCCAATTACAGACGAGCGAGTCCATAATTGGATTCCCAAACTGAAAAAATAAAATATAAAATATAAAAATAAGGACTAAATCAATCATGCCCTCTAGTACTCATCTTCACCATCATCATCCTCTCCTTCAGCAGACTCCAAACCAACTTCCTCATAGTCCTTCTCCAGAGCAGCCAAGTCCTCCCTAGCCTCCGAAAACTCTCCTTCCTCCATGCCTTCACCAACATACCAGTGCACAAACGCACGCTTCGCATACATGAGATCAAACTTGTGATCAATCCTCGAAAACACCTCAGCCACACTAGTGGAGTTGGAAATCATACACACAGCCCTCTGAACCTTAGCCAAATCACCCCCAGGGACCACAGTAGGAGGCTGGTAGTTGATTCCGCACTTGAACCCAGTTGGGCACCAGTCCACAAATTGGATGGTCCTCTTGGTCTTGATTGTGGCCACGGCTGCATTCACATCCTTAGGCACCACATCACCTCTGTACATCAAGCAGCAAGCCATGTACTTCCCGTGGCGCGGATCACATTTGGCCATCATGGAGGACGGCTCAAATGCACTGTTTGTGATCTCTGCAACTGAGAGTTGCTCGTGGTACGCCTTTTCTGCTGAAATAACCGGGGCATACGAAGAAAGCATGAAATGGATTCTTGGGTATGGGACTAAATTGGTTTGGAATTCAGTCACATCCACATTTAGAGCTCCATCAAACCGGAGAGACGCTGTCAGTGAGGAAATGACCTGCAAGTTAAACAATACAAGTCTTAATTTTATTACCCCACAAAGTGTCACAAAATCCCCCTTTTGAACAGAATTTATGGTATTGAGTATACCTGAGAGACAAGCCTGTTGAGATTGGTGTATGTGGGTCTTTCGATGTCCAATGATCTACGGCATATGTCATAGATTGCTTCATTGTCAAGAAGCACTGAAACATCTGTGTGCTCCAGGAGAGAATGGGTGGACAGAACACTGTTGTAAGGTTCAACAACAGAGGTTGAGACCTGAGGGGAAGGGTAAACTGTGAAGCCCAGCTTCGATTTCTTTCCGTAGTCGACGGAAAGCCTTTCAAGAAGCAGAGAGCCAAGGCCGGAGCCAGTCCCACCACCAACGGCATGGAAAACCAAAAACCCTTGAAGACCAGTGCAGTTGTCTGCAAGCTTTCTTATGCGATCCAGACACAAATCCACAATCTCTTTGCCAACTGTGCAACATCAATCATCAAAGCAAATTTTAATATGACAGAAACATATATTTGTGTTCAAAGAATCAAAACCCCCAAAAATTAGTACTTGTGTAATGGCCTCTAGCAAAGTTGTTGGCAGCGTCTTCTTTGCCGCTAATGAGTTGCTCTGGGTGAAACAATTGGCGGTAAGTCCCGGTCCTGACTTCGTCGATGACAGTAGGTTCTAAGTCGAGGAAAACAGCGCGAGGGACATGCTTTCCGGCACCGGTTTCACTGAAGAATGTGTTGAAGGCATCATCGCCTCCACCAACTGTTCTGTCACTGGGCATTTGTCCATCAGGCTGCACATACAAAAAATTCCCCAAAGACCCAGAAGAAATTGTTACACATGATATAATTACTTCTACTAAATGTCACTTATATAAACTTGAAATCAAATAAAATTAGGGTTTGATGCAGGGTATGAAAAGGCAATATACTGACCTGAATGCCATGTTCAAGGCAGTAAAGCTCCCAACAGGCATTTCCAACCTGAATCCCAGCCTGACCAATGTGGATCGATATGCACTCTCTCATTTTGTCTGAGAAGTTGTTAGCAAACTGAGGAGAAAGAAAGAAATAGAGAGAGAAAGAGAGAGACGGAGAAGGAAAGAGAGATGCCAAAGACGTATACGAAGACGTCTAGGCCAAAAAACTGGGAGTGTTAAGAAATTAGGGTTGGGGGTTAGGTATGTATATATAGGAAGATTGAGGAAGAAGATGCTTTTGAAACGGCTAGTATTGGGATACGTTAACTTTTCAAATTTGAATGGGATCTGTCGGGACCGTTGGGTCTGTCAAAGGTGGGAAATTTAGAATTTGCAATTTTGAAATTTTTTTCCCCCTTGAAAATTTGAATTTACGAATGCACATTTGGACTCTGGATCGGAATGGGCCGGAATATGGAGTTGGGCCTCACCTAGCAGGCCGAATACATAGCCCAATTGAATGGAAGAGGCTGCTATCAAAATTATGTACTCACTATGACTTTGAGCATATGTAATTTCATTAACCATTTAAAATGTTATCTACCACTCATTAATAGTGTTACTGATTACGCAATATAATGCTTGGGCTTGTCAAGTTTTAAAGTTAGAATGAAATGTTTTTCAATTCTTGAATATATTCAATTATTAGGCCCTATTTGTTTTAAAATAAAGTTTATTTCAAAAATATTTTTAGAATTCAAATATTTTATAAAAATATTTTAATGACCTGCCATCAAATTTTTTGTAAACCATTTTACTACCGTTCGTTAAACCATCCACGCTCTCTTTCTCTTTTCACCGTAGACAACATCTTAAACGTTTTCCTTGCGTAATCCTAAAAAGTACTTTATTCAAATTACTTTATCGAATTACTCAATTTAATGATCATTTAATTCTTTTATAATTTAATACTAAATTGAGCTATCAAATACGTAGTATATGAGTGAACAAAAAATTATTCTTTTAATTTTAACAAACAATTGTGCTTTAGTAGCCCACTCATTACTTTCCTTTTAGATCCAAATTGACGCGTATATATTAAAAAACCATGCTTGTAAATATGATGAATTCATGAATCATAAGTAATGAGATCCATAATTTTCACTTTTCGGCTACAATGCAAAACCATTCACAAGGATGAATCATTTGCACTATATATTAATATACAGTTGCTAAGTATAATTAGATTCCATTATATATATATATATATATTTTATTGCTTTTGGTCCTTCAAAGCGCATATGGAATCCATTTGCACCTAAACTGTGAGTGTTAAAAAGTAGACTCAAAGCCTAAGAAAAAGTCCGATATTGCTAATTAAATAATTCGTAGTCATATTAGTATGATTATCAAATTGAAATCTGTAAACACAAAGGTCATTTAATTTTATGAAAAACAAGAATGACTCAAACCACTCCAAGGCATGCCAATGTCTTTTTATTTATTTATAAAGTTGTAGTTATTAGTTAATAATTAAAATAGCTTGATGCATTGGTTAGGTAGGGCCAGCACACAGCTATAAAATTATAATTTGCCAACCATTTATTTTGAAATCTAAAAATACACAAAATTATATTTAACTCGGATCCTCTGTAATAGAACAATTTTCTTACTCCGTTGAAATGATGCACTTTATAAAATAAAAATAAAAGTTTTAGTCAATATTATAATATTTTTATAGGTAGTACCATTAACTCGAGGAAATAGGAACACGAGAGGATTGTGTACCTAACCATACCATATGGCAGTAGTATTCATCAAACTAAAACAGTTGATTTGGTAGTCATTTTTCACAAAAGTCCATCCAAAACATTCCATGAACTATAATTGGAGACACCTGTCAAACTCAGGCGTCATGACCACTCATGAAGCTTGCAATAATGTGTTTAATTTTCAAGAGCCAAATGGTTTTGTGCTTAGATAATAATTCATTCGTCGTTTTGCTTCAAATAATCTCGAGCGAATTCGAAAATCTTCAAAAGTAGGAAATATGACAGGTTTAAGAGCAGCAATTAAGATGGTGACATCAAGATTTGAGGGCTCAAAAGTGCTTTTGGTAGGAAGGAAATACTTTTGTGTTTTATTTATTTTGATGGTAAACAACAGATGCTGGATCAGACTTCTATCTGATCAATGAGATCTGCCTTGAAATACTGATTTTCCCTCACAAAATGATTTAACAATATCAAGTAAGTTGTTCTAACCATTTTCTCTCAATTTCAGAATGATTTGTTTTGTACTCGAAACCGATTGCATAGCATTTACAATGTCTTGATCTTTTTGTTACAAAGCTTGACAAAGGATATTAGTTATTCCCATAATATCTTTTAACAAATGCAAAATAAACACAAACTGAAATGATTTAAGAGTATTAAAAGCAATATCAACATCTCCCCGGATCTTGTAATTGTTGAGATTTTTAAAAGATTTTAAAACTCGTTTAAAAATATTTCAATATTCCTTTATTATTTACTTTCATTATTTGAATTTTATATTGTAACTTAAGGAATTAATTTACATGAACGTTACACTATAACGTATATAATTTATTGGGTTTTTATTAAAGTAAATAAAGAATTAGCTGTTTTGGCTTCTTTAAGGAGGCCTATATATATGGCAATGGGATGCACTCAAAGGGATATACCAAACTACTCTACCACATTTGCGTATTACTCTTCCAGATATTATGCTATCAATATCTTTTACATATTTCACATATATTTCACTATTTTGGACAACTCGACATTTGAAACTTGGTCCTTTTTCCTTCCTGTGGTCGTGCACATAGAGGAGGTGCACATAGAGGGTTGTATCTTGGAGTTAACTAGCACCGTCCGCACATGCACGTAGGGGGGGCTATCAACTTTAGGTCAACGTGTTTATCACGTATCTCCCTATATCTGGCCAGCCTTTCTTTAACTTTACTTTTATATTTTATTTGTTTTATTTCTTTTACATGTAACGATTATATTTAAATTGTGTGTCTATATATATATATATTTGTATACAAGTAATATTATACAAAACTACCATATTCTCATTGGTTTAATTTATGTAAAACTTATTTTAATTGTCTATTTATATAATATTTTAGTGTGATTCGTTTATAATATTTTAGTGCATAAAATTATATTTCCATAACTGTCTAAAGTTGATAGCCCCTCTAAATAGCTTCTTGGCTTATTGCCCATTCTGTAAAAGACCTAAATATTTTTTTTATTGTGAACAGAACATGTTTTGTTTTGGAAATTAAAATTACAATACGTTTCATAATATTAAAAATAATAATAATAATAATAATAATAAAAGGTATTGCAAAGAGTTGTATTGATTATTTTTTGGCGAGTTTAATTTATTGAAATATACAATAGTTTCAACATTTTTTTTTTAATTTATAATTTGTTTTATAAGAAAGTCAATTTTTTTTTAAAGGGTTCTATTTTCAAAAGGAAACAATTTATTGGAATTTAAATTGGTATTTTTTTTAACTGTTTTAGCATTGAGTTATATATATAAATATATATATAAGGCAATTTATTTTTAAAAAACATGATCATATATATTTATATATATATATATAAGGTAGTTTAATTTTAAAAATCAGATCAGGTTATTATTATAAAACAGTTACTATTATAAAGTCAATTTATTGAAATCAGTTTTTTTTTTTTTTTTTTTTTTGGACATTTAAATTGTTGTATTGAAACTACTTTAGTATTGAAACTATTTTAAGCGTGAAAAGTTATTATTCTTATTTTAAATTGTGTATTTTATATTGTGCATCCTTTTGCTTTAATTAGACGATCTGCATCTGATTTATATTTTGTTGAAAATTTTTATAGTGGCTTTAATCTCAATAGGAAATTGACCTTACATCTTTCACGTAAGTAGACTTGATATCCAATTCAATTTGAGGTCTATAATATAATGATGATGATAGAGATGGGAAACTCTAGCAAGATCGCCTTAGGATTTAATCCTTCGATTAATCTTACCTATGATAACATTGATTGGTGGTTAGACTCGGGGCCTAATGTACATGTATGCTTTAGTAGTGACTGTTTTAAGACTTACAAAAAATTTAATGGTGGAAGTGTAACCTTAGGAAATAATTCTATCGCACAAATTTATGGAATTGGAGACGTGGAATTAAAGATAACATTTGGGAAGATTCTAACTTTAAAGGATGTGCGACATGTACCCGAAGTGAGGAAAAATTTAGTTAGTGGACATTCTTTAGTTCAACAAGGGTTTAAAATTGTAATGGAGTCAAATAGAGTTGTAATCACAAAGAACAATGTTTTTGTGGGTAAAGGTTATATTAGTGAGGGATTATTTAAGTTGAATGTTATTTTCGATATGAATGGAATCTATCCACAAGTTTATAGCGTTGAATTTTGTGATATTTTGCATGAAAGACTTGGACATGTTACTTGAAAAAAAATAATAATAATAAGAAATCAATAGATTTTACTATAGTCCAAAAATCCTAAAACTGTGGGGGTGCTTAGCTAAAGTAATCTTACTTGGATCTAGTTAAAAGGAAAAAGATATGACAAGAAATTTGGTGTGTAGATCAGTAAATCCGTTTATGGTCATTGACAAGCTCTGGAATCAATGGCAAAAGATATTTTAATCTAATTAGAGTACTATAGATTAATGATGATGGTAAGTGTGTAACAAATGAAATAATGGAGAAAAAGTTTTTTGTGGATGACATTATTTTTTGGAGATAAACTTAGAAATTTTACCTCTGGATTTTTTTAATAAAGGATCTAGAAAAGGCATCATTGATGTTAGGTATGAAAATAGAAATAAATTTCTCAAAGTATCACTGAAATTTTTTTGAAAAGATGTTTTAGAAAATTATCTTTACCAAGTATCAAGTCTGGTATTGCCTATCTGTTGATAAACTTAGTAGATATTCACATAATCTGATTAAGAATCATTTGATGATGTTATATAGAATCAAACCACAAAAGATTACTCCTTGTACTGTAAAGGTTTTTTCAAATATGGTGGAAAGATATAGTGATACAAATTGGATAACCAATTAATTAGAAATCAAATAAATTTCTATCTGTGGAGTACTATGAATCATAATATTTACTTTTATTTTTTAGCCTTAAATACTACTTGAATCACAAGATTATGTGTAACAAATTCCTATTACATATCCTACCTTTAATAGATAAGCCAATGTTTGCAAGATTGATACATTATAACGTGATATTGATTTGGTGAATTAACACCTTATAAAGAACAAGGTGCATGGATACATACAAATGAGATACATATATGTGAATAGGAAACATGTGATTTCTTAAGGAAAATATACTGAGATATGAGGGGAAAAAAAAAGTTATTTCTTGGAAGATTGTCATAGATATGTTGAGGGGGATGGGCCTAAGCCCCAAGTAAGTCACCTCCGGAAGTAACCCAACTTTCTTATTGGCGATTTAATCACATGACGAAAGGTTCAATGGGTAGAAACAATCTGTACAGCGTGACTCATTGATAACACTCTTTTTATGAGGTTTTTCGAGGAGATTCTTTCCTGTTCATCCCTATGGCATCCGTGTTGTGATGTGATAAGGAAAGGCTTTGCCCTGAATGAATTCGAGGCGAGCATACTCTCGCGGGGTATAAGTCACATATACTCTTAGAGGATTCATCTAAGTGAGAGCCGTCGTGAGGCCGCGACTATGAGAATTGGGTTGTTCTTTAGTAACTCTCATAAGAATCAAGATATTAGCGCATGGCCATTAATAGCGCTACCCCACTTGACCAAAGTCTCTCGTCAATATTATGTGTGTAATGTGTTGAAGTTTGGTTCAGAGGGCCGAATTCAAGACATAGTTCATTCTGGTTCTTCAAATAGAAACAATTACACTAAGTGAAGGTTCAAACTCATAAAACACCTACACCCTTTGCATAATATCATGTTGCCCATATTATTTTTATATATTATATACACATTTATGATTTTAAAAGTTTTAAAATCTTGTGGGGGATTGTTAAGATTTTTAAAAGATTTTAAAACTCGTTTAAAATATTTCAATATTCCTTTATTATTTAATTTCATTATTTGAATTTTATATTGTAACTTACGAAATTAATTTACATGAACGTTACACTATAACGTATATAATTTATTGGGTTTTTATTATAGCAAATAAAGAGTTAGCCGTTTTGGCTTCTTTGAGAAGGCCTATATATATGGCAATGGGATGCACTCAAAGAGATATACCAAACTACTCTACCACATTTGCGTATTACTTTTCCAGAGATTATCCTATCAATATCTTTCACATATTTCACATATATTTCACTAGTTTGGACAACCCGACATTGGAGACTTGGTCCATTTTCCTTCCTGTGGTCGCGCACATAGAGGAGGTGCCACTAAAAACTGATCGGGTTGTATCTTAGAGTTGACTAGCACCATCCGCACCTGCACGTAGGGGAGGGCTATCAACTTTAGGTCAACGTGTTTATCACGTGCCTCTCTCCATATCAGGCCAGCCTTTTTTTAACTTTACTTTTATATTTTATTTGTTTTTTTCTTTTACATGTAACGATTATATTTAAATTGTGTGTCTATATATATATATATTTGTATACAAGTAATATCATACAAAACTACCATATTCTCATTTATTTAATTTCTGTAAAACTTACTTTAATTGTCAATTATATTTATATAATATTTTTGTGTGATTTGTTTATAATATTTTAGTGCATAAAATTATATTTCCATAACAGTAATTACATCCATCTTCAATGAGGTTGTTAAGAACTGAACATGTTGGACCAAATACCTTATCAAATTACAAACAGAATCAAAATGGGAGCTCCAATGAGTATCTCCAAGTCGTTACAAGTTACCAATCTGATTAGCTCCTAGGCCGGTTTCAAGTTCACTAAGATCTATCAAATGGGCAATTTCCATAACTTGAGCAGAATGTAATTCATCAGTTCGTTTGCAAGAAACTCCGATGTTATTGATAATGAAGTTCAAGTTTGAAAAGAATTGATGGACAACGATTACTTCTCTAGATGCGGCAACTAATGCTAGTTGTAGTCGGTGAGCTAAGCAATGCACATAATATGCATAAGGACAATCCATTCACCATGTATATTGCTAGCACCATCATAACCTTGACCTCGGAGATTGTGAACATCAAGATTATATTGAGAAAGAACCGCACAAGGATCCTTTTTTTAATTCAATGAAGTTGTATCTTTGACATGCACATGATCAAAGAAACGTTCTTGTAAAAAACCATCCTTATTGACGTATCTTAAAACGAGAGCCATTTGCTCAATTTTAAATTCATCATAAGCTTCATCAACAAGAATACAAAACTTGGCATCGCCAATATCTTCACGAATCTTACTTCTTGCTTTTTTAGAAGTAAGAAGTAAGATTCGTGAAGATATAGCCGATATCTCCTTTTGAATTTGTGGCAAGGTATACTTGGCATTTTTTAGGGCATTTTCAAGAACAATTCTACTGACATCATTATTATATGACGCAAAAGCCTTTACCATTTCAATGAAATTGCCTCGATTACTTGATTGAAGAGATTCACCATGCCCTCTAAAAGCACAAGCTTGATAAGTAAGCCATCGGACCGCATCAATTCTGACCTTCAATCTCAATCGATTATTCAAAACTTGTTCAGAAGTTTGTTTAACCATCACTATATCAATATGACAAGGTTGATTCATTAAGTCCTTACATGCTCTCTCAACAATGCTATGAGCAAAACATGGGCTTTCTCCCACATGATTTAAGAAAGCACACCTATTGTCATCATTAGCTTTCTTCCAACTTCGAAATCCTTCACTAGTAAATGCATTGGTTCTGGGATGCCCCGTTGGTTTCGCTCCAAAAAGAAAGCAAGGTAAACAATATACAGCATCCTTTGAAGGAGAATACTTTAACCAGGTAGGAAATAATTTAAACCAAGATGATTCAAATCGAAGACGATGCTTTTCCGATCCAGAAAGCAAATATACTGAAAGCACAATTTGGTATGGTTTCGCTTTGATATAAGCTCGTCGAATGTGATACCCCCTAATTTTGGAACACGGATTGATCAAATCCGCGCACAAAATCAGAGAATATCAAAACAATTAAAGTATTTAAACAAGTACAGATTACAAAATGAAATAAAGAATAAATAATACGCTGAAAAAAACTAATAAATAGTAAATCCATTAATAACTCCCAAATGGTTTGTAATACCCCTAATTTTCAAAAGGATAAGATTAGAATTTAAATTTTATTCAATGTGCTTATGTGTCAAATTGTTTTAATTCATTGTTTTATTTAACTAAATTGTTGTTATTAGGGTTGTTGTTTGGTTATTTAATTTAAATTGCATTCCTTGATTTACTTTATTTATATGATTTAATTGGTAGTATTTAATTTAATTGCAATTGGTAGTATTTAATTTAATTGCATTCCTTTATTTAATTGATTTGTGGTAATGATTTAAATTTATGGTTTATTTTTTTTAATTATTTAATTACGTTAAATGGTTTTAAAATCTACGTTAACTAAGGCCGACTAGAATTAGGGTTTTCCATTGGGGATTAGGATTGGGCTTAGGGTTTCTTAATGCCTATATATATACTATTATGTATCTTCAAAAGGTTGAGAACCCTATATACGTACAGTATAATATAGAGGGAACAGAGAGAGATGGTGAGGAAAACAGAGGAGGAAACGGGGGTTTTGGTCATGAGTAAATGATAAACCAATGAGAGGAGGAAGGGGTGCTGCTCATGGGATTTAACTTAGGGCAGCAATGTAGTGGTCGACAGTCAAGAGGTCGCCGAAAAGTCTGGACAAAGGATGGCAAACCAAACTTACAGAGGCAAGTTATTTCCTTACTCTCTCACGTTGCCTGTGTTCTGTGCATCCTTAGACTGTCTCTAGGGTTTTAATGGATTACTAATTAAAGCTTACATGCTTGTTATATGCCAATTCTGATATCTATATGCATGAAATTGTTCTGTTATAGTTCTAGTATTTTCTGTGTTTTATTCTGCGTTAAAAGCATGGTTAATCGGTTAAGGTTTTAAACACTATAATGAAATTGAACTATTATGTACAAGGCATTGGGATGTTATTGGATGGTTCTAGGACTCTTAAGATCAGATTTAAGAAGCAACAGAGGGGTAGAAAAGGGTCCAAGATGGAGCAGATCGTCGAAAATGAAGAAGGAACAAAGTCGAGGCTCTCAAAAGGGAGAGAGCCGGCTCTAGGCAAGGAGAGTCGGCTCCCCCTTTTGGGAGAGCCGGCTCTAGGCAGATTGAGCCTTCTCCACTATTTTGGAGAAGGCTCTGTGATCCTATTTGTTTACAGAAACAGTTTTATGCGTTGTTTGTAGGGATGGCAACGGGGATGGGTTTGGGCAGATGTACACCCCCTGTCCCCGCAACCGTTTAGAAACCCCGCCCTCGTTTAACAATTTTACCCCCGCGGGTACCCACTCCACCCCGTTTAAGACCAAAATTTCTCCTAATTTTTTTTTTTTTTTTTTTATCAACTAAAATTATATAATTATTGAAAATATTCATTAAAAAATAGAAAATAAATAGTTAATTCAACATTAAAAACATTCTATAACAGTAATTTCATAAAAGATAACATACCAAAACCAGATAAGTCAAATTACATCGTTCCAATTTGGCTTCCAAAAGAGTTTTAATTAAAAAAAGAAAAAAAAAAAAAAAAGATAATTCATTACATAGTGGCAATAAGTTATCAGAAAATTTAGATTTCAAAACAAGCTTCTCATAAGTTTCTTCAATGTCTCCATAGTTGCATAATTTCTTTAACATCCCCAAAAGAATCATATGCTGATGATTAATCTGCAAAAAATATCACTATTCGATCACTAAAAAGTTCAAAATTAGCATGAAATATTAACGTAGATTCTTATTAAAGTTGAAACAATACCTTGGCAAACCTCAGGAACACATTCATTATCATCATTATAATTATCAGAATATATGCTGAGTTTGCATGGATCAAATATTGAATCAGTTCCTAAAAATAAAACAAAAGTGTAAGATAACTAATGCATTAGAAAATAATAAATTAAAGAATTTTAATATAATCAATTTACCATCCATGTCTTCACACAATAACCAATTCTGAGCACACATCAAAGCCATCAAAGTAGATGGATGAAGTCTACTCCGATGTGGACTAACCATTCTACCGCCAGTGCTAAAAGTAGATTCTGATACAACGGTAGACACGGGAATAGCTAAAATATCACGAGCAATCTTCTGCAAAGTAGGAAACTTAACTCCATTCGAACCCCACCAAGTCAAGACATTAAAATTTGGGGTTCTAGGCAGCACACTCTCTTCCAAGTAAAACTCCAACTCAGTCCTTGTATGAAAATTAGTCACACTCGAGTTGAGATACCTATCAAACTTAGACAGACTTGCATCCTCAGACAAATTAGTAGCTTGACTTGAAGTAGAAGCAACATCAACATCCATATTTCCATCTGTCATTGTATTGACTTGATATGCACAAAACAAGTCATAAACATTTTGACGAACTTTTTGAATTTCACTAGAAGCTTCATCTCCATATATCTCTCCAAAATGATATTCTACTAGTTTCATCTTATATCGTGGATCTAAAACCACAGCCACTGCCATCACCACATGACAAACGTTCCAATATTTCAAAATTTTATCCATCATTTTTGATGCCATCACTTTAATGATCTCATTAGGACTTTGAAGCCAAAGAGACAATTCCTCTCTAATTAAACAAATTTTATGAAAATCACAATTGGAAGTAGGATATTGAGTACCAGAAAACAATTCTGTGGTAGTGTAAAACAAATACAAATTTTCACAAATTTCTTTTCCCCTTTCCCAATCTTCATTAGTTGGCAATCTAGTGTAAAGTCTCTCACGTTGTTTTAATCATGGGAACACATCTTTATAATGCAAAGCAACTTCAAACATAAGATATGTTGAGTTCCAACGAGTTTTATAATCAAGAGTTAACTTTTTAGTATATGGGATCTTTAATTGGTGAGCAGCTTCTTTAAATTTTTCAATTCTACTTGGTGTTGCTGTCCAAAAAACAAACACTATCATGTATTCTTTCTGTCCCATCCCCAATTACTTCCAACCCATCTTTAACAATCAAGTTTAAGATGTGTGCACAACATCTCATATGAAAAAAGCTTCCCTCAAGTAAAAGTGCATTAGAATCAAGCTTGTCTAAAAGACAACTGATGATAGCATCATTTGTGGTGCAATTATCCAAAGTAATTGTGGATAACTTCCTATCTATATTCCAATCATAAAAAGTATCCATAAGAACTTTAGAAATGACTTCCTTATTATGTGGAGCAGGAACATACAAAAACCTAAAATGAATCAAAATAAAAAAAAAAATACTTAATTAATTAAGTATAACAAGAGAAATAAATAAAATAATTGAATATCTAGTAAATAAACATAAATATGTAAATGAAGAAATCAATATTAGTCTATTACCTCAAAATTCTTTGTTGCAACTCCCAAGAATCATCAATAAAGTGGGCTGTTATTTCCATGAAACCTTTCTTCAAATGATTGCAAGTCCACATATCAGAAGTGATGGCAACTCTACTCCCAAGGGCCTCCAACAACCACAACGTTTTAGCTTTCTCAGATTCATAAATACTTAAGATGTCCCTTTTGATTGTATTTCGAGAAACCATTTTAAACATGGGTTGAAGGGCATTAACAAATCTTCGAAAGTGGGAATGTTCAACAATAGAGAGTGGATACTCATGCACTATGATCATCCCCGCAAGCTCATCACGTGTAACTTTTGCAGCTTGTTTATCAAATAGAGAAGTAAGACATTCCAACTGTCCATCCATCTTTTTCAGATTTTGTTACAAAACAAACTGTCTCATATCCTTGTTTCCAACTTTCTTGCACCTTTTTAAGTGGTCGCCCAAGCTACTTATTCCATTCCTACTAGGTGCTTTCAACTTTGAAGTGCAATGGTTGCAAACACGAAACTCTATCCCATTTATCTTTATCTTCTTAAAATCATTCCACACAGCTGATGTTAATTTTTTTTTGCTTGGGCGAAGTTGCTTCAGGACCTGATTCATCAACTGGATTTGTATATGTCATTGGAGCAGAATCTGTTATTGGAGTAGAATTAGGAATTGGAGATGAGTTATCATTTGATGATAAATCTACAATCTTTCTTTTATCACCCTGTGACATCTTTCAATTTACTTATACTGCAAAATAGACAACAAAAAATAATAAAATTAAAATGATATATAATAAGAAGTTAATAACCTATGCTGAAAAGAAATCACAACATTATGGAAATTCCAATTAACTCTGTGCCGGATATGCCTCAGACCTATTCCTCACTTGAAGAATTGGTTGGTTTTGCTTTGAACCTTTCAGCGCACTTTCAGATTCACTAGAGTTCTACCTTTCTGAGGAGATTGACCAATTAGAGTCTTAGTATGAATCAAAAGAAAACAAAAAGTCCTATGCTGAAAAATAAGAAGAGACAATTCTAAATGATTGACCACTATTCAATATGTATAGAATATCTACATATCGTAATATATATATATATATATATATATATATATAATATTATTCTATATATTATACATGTATAGAATATCTACATAGCATATATATATATATAGAATATATTATACATATATAGAATATATTATATAATATATTATATGTATACGATATACATGTAATATATTATACATATATAGAATAATATATTTCTATATATACATGGCGGGGCAAATTAAAACTTACGCAAAGAGAGTCAATGACAAATTCTGAAGCTCCTAAGTGAAATTCCTGAAGCATATGTATACACTGAAATCAAAATTAAATGCCCAACATGTCACAATTGTAGACTCCTCAAGAAAATTCTCAGATAAAAATATAAAAATAATATTATAAAAAATACGTATCATTTACAGAAAAATATATATATATATATATATATATCTAAAAAATTAAATAACAAAATTGATAATATAAAGTAAAAACAAAGTAAGAATATACACACGTTATTGGAATCCATGATGTGTACGGATGAAGCTTGTTGGTAATATATTCTATATATACATGTAATATATTATACATATATAGAATATATTATTCTATATATGATACACATATAGAATATATTATACATGTATTTCAATAGATTCTTCATTCTATAAGGCAGAGTGAATATAAAAGCACAGAGGAATTAGAAATATAGAAGAGGAAAAGGGAGATAACTTACCCCTAAAGATCAGGTTAACAGTGACACGCCGCTGATAGTGAAGAAGATTGAAGAGTAATCGAGAGTTATGACTTGTGAAGTCTAGGGTTTCTAATGCGAGTATATATACTAAATAAAATAAGGATAATTAATTACCTATTGGGTGACAGGTAAGGATAATTAATTACCTATTGGGTGATGGATAATTAATTACCTATTGGGTGACAAGCAGGCGCTGCTGACAGTAATGATGTGAATGAGAGAATTAAGAAAACGTAGGGTTTCTAATAGGAAATATATATAATAATTAAATAAGGGTAGTTAAGTAATTTTCATATTGAAACGGTGCGGGGCGGGGCGGGACGACCTCCCCCCCGCCCCCGCACCAAACCCGCGCGGGTTTTTGTTATATAAAACCATCCCCGCCCAAATTAGTTAAACGGTCCCCCAAAATAGTCAAAAACGGGGCGGGCGGGGGCGGATAACCGCGGGGGCGGGTCAAATTGCCATCCCTAGTTGTTTGGTTTGATTGTGGGTTTTTTTGGGTGCACTGTGTGGATGATTCTTGAATCTGGACCTGTGTGGGAAGTAGACTAAGATGATTAACATGCAACCTAGGTATTGTTATAAGCTTTCAGTGCATAAGAGATGCAATTATGCAAGTGGAATAGGAAGCAAAGGAGAAGACTCAAAGGAAGAAAGAGAATGCTCTTAAATGTGGAACCTGCTCTAGGTGGTTTAGAGCCTTCTTTAGTTTTTTAGAGAAGGCTCTAGGCGGTTTAGAGCCTTCTCCAGTTTTTTGGAGAAGGTTCTTTTCAATAGTGTTTTCAGAATTTTATTTTTTACGAACTGTATTGTTACTGTTGCAGCGTGGAAACTATTTTGTTGACTCTGGGGTTTTACAGAGGGATTATAAGGTTGTTTTAGGGTGTTATTAAATCTTTAAATTGAGTAAGGTTGACCTCTAAGTGAATGGAATTAACAGTGCGCTAATTAGCAACTTTGCATGCAGTTAACGGTTGGAAGGAAGTTTATTGTCTAGTTTTAATTTGACAATTTAGGGTGCTATATAATGATTCTAAATTAAGTTTAAAAGCACAGTGAAGTCTTTTAAATTAATAAATTGGACTTGGGGCATAGTGCATGGCTCTTTGCTAAAACATAGGACAGAATACAAGTATACAACTTAGTACGCTGTTACCGGATGGAAGGAATTAAATTACTTAAATTAATGTACCGATTTATTGGACTATAATATAATTATAGAATTTATTTTAAATGCATGATAGAGTCATTGATGTATTAGATTTGATCTATGCATGCTCTTGACGGTAGTTGCTGAATTATTAATTGTTTCCTGCAACTATATGGTTTAACTCTTGGATTTAAATTGCTAAAACTTTAAATATGTTTCTGCAATTATTTGGATTTTGGTTTTGGATTATAAATTATTAAACTATTATATATCGGTTGAAATTTACATGGTTTTGGATTTAAATTGCTGAAATACTAAATACTCTTCTGCAATTATTTGGAATGGTTATGGACTATAAATTGCTAAACTATTATGTAATTGTTGTAATTTACACGGATATGGAGGATTGGATGCACGGGTATGGGATGGTGACATACTAGGTATGGTTTAGCTCAAAACGCTAATTCCTACCTTATGGATTTTAATTGGTGAACAGTTTTACCTGTTCAATCAATTATATGGATTTTGTGGATTGTATGCACCGGTATGGGACGGTGGCATACTAGGGACAGATTGATTCAAAATACTCAGTCCTACCTATTTTGGAATAAGGGTACGGGTTGTTAAATAAAATCCTCCTTATATATATGAGTCGGTGCAGTTGAATACGCTGAACGACTTACTGGATTTTTTATGGATGAATGTGAACGGATTTTATATATATTGTTATGGTACCATGACATGAGCTTGAGTCTCATAGTCGACGGTTAGGGAGCATATATGCAGTAGGATGTGTAGTTAGCTATGTTGGTTGAGGTATACCATGTTAAGCTTAAGTAGTCATGCCCACTCAGGTGCGTATTGCATGTTGCCTTCTATTCAGGTTGAGACTCTCAGCATAGTTTAGTGAGAGTCCTGTAATGTGGATATATATTTATCTATTACGGATAATATAGATATGGTTGGGACATCTAGGATGTATCTGCGTATTGGGTCTCTGTTTGGATTGTAGTTAGGATAGAACTTGTTCGTGGGCCTGACCCACTATTATTTTCAGGTAACAGACGGTTCCAGGTCTTAGAGCTTGTTCATGCTAAACAGAGACTACTACTCATTCTACCGACGACGTAGGAGGTTTCTTCATGGTTTAGCAGTGGACTTCTTTTCAGTTGTTCGTTTTCCAGTGTTGGTTTTAATTAGGGGTCCACCAGATGGATTCTCGAGTTGTATTGGAATTGAAAAAGTTGGATGTATCAGATTAATACTTTATTTATAAAATTTTATTTTGAGGTTTTCAGTCTTGGATTATCATTCTAGTTTCTTTTCAGCAGTTTTATTTATTCTTGTTTATCTTATCTGTATTCTGTGTTCGTTTATTACTAATTTTGTTTGATATCCTCGGGTAATCGGGCGTGGGCCTGGCCAATCCACATCCGAAAATTCGGGGGTATCACAGTTGGTATCAGAGCACTCCAGGTTCTAGTGTCCTTATGAGTGTTTTCGTTATAAGACTTCCGCGTTGCGTCTTCTAAAACTTAGAGCCATGTTAAGATTCGTTGTACTCTCGTTACGGATCGTTAGGAGGAGTTGATGTCAATTGAATTCTGTAGATACAGGGTGGTTGACACGAGAAAGAGGATAGGGTTCAAGGCGAAAGCGATACAGACCCAACGGAGTAACGGAAAAGGTTGTCGAGTTCTTTACCAGAAGTAGAACTTAGGATCGAAGGTTTAGTTCCAAGGTTGGTATTACTTAGAAAGTATACGCCAAGGAAGGATTAAGGTATAGGTGTTAGGTCACCGCTTATCGGGACCAACACAACTTCAGTTGTTCTAAAAAATGAGGTAAGCGAAGAGTAGGATTCTGAAGAGGATCCTAAGGGAGGAGTTATCAGCGTCTCCAAGAAAGGGGATATTAAAGCTTAAAGATAAAGGATCGCACGAGGGTACTCACATTCACCAATGGTATAGTGAATGGTACTAGTGGAGTTGGTGTGAACCAATCTACATATAGTTAACGTTTCGTAACATCTCTCCGGGAGTTATTTACGAAGTACTCTTTAGGAGTTTGGGAATCGGATGGAGTTCTTACCAAAACAAAGACGTGATTTTATATCACATTCCGGAGAGTATGGGGATTAGGTTGTGACATTCTAAGTTGGTTTGTAAAGCCATGATAGACGGTTTACATTCCGTATATTAGGAGGATGAGGGTTAAACCTTTGGATATTTGTTTAAGCAAACGATTGTGTAGTTAAGCTACGGTTAATGGATAAGTTTCAAGGTTGGATAATTACCAACGAAACTATGGAATGAACTTTTGCAAACTTGAGTTTAAAGGAGGTTTTCTTCTCTGGAATGGAATATGTCTTAAGTGGAGTTATATTTTGGTTGTTTTGTGTATTGTGTGTACTACATGTTTCATCTTTGATTGTCATGTGTTTCAGTTTTGTTATTACGCGTTTCATTTTTGTTAATTAGTTCGGATTAGGAGTATGGATTGGTTGGGAACACAAGTATGTGATCAACCAACTATTATGTTGATGACATGGATAATAGCGCTACGTACGCTAGGATTTATGAAAGTATGGTCATAAGATTAGGTAGAAATTCAAACTTCTAGCCAATCTAATGGATCTGGATATGCATCAATATGGTATGCTAGTTAGGATGGGATAATTAAACTATCAAAACGAGTCAAATAATCAAAAAGGATTAGTTTGATATGCTCAATGCTAGGTGGGGATTCGTTTTTATAACGCTATAATAATGGTGGTTGTTAGTGTCTTGGGGATTCGTGAGGTTGTGGTAGGTAAAGATCACTGTAATGCCACTATGGTTCAGACGGAGGATTTTGTACTGGTAGGTACTTATTAGAATGACGCCGAGAGAGGATAGTGGGCTGATAAAATCTTGTTTTTAAGGTTATCTTTCGCAACAATTAGCTGTTGCTCCGATATTGATGCCTTTATGGAGGATGGAAAAGTTTCATATACATTTGAAACGAGCCAAGGAGTCAGTTTAACACTTACCTATATTAGAGAAATATGATGTGTTAATGACAGGAAGGAGAGACCGAATGTCCATATAAGGAAGCGGTGCACAGTGTGTGTGGACAGTCATAGTGAATTGACTTTCCCTGAATGGAATTACCGGTTGATTTTGTTATCGGTATGCTTATCACTAACTGGTAATGCGTAGCTACAGTTGCAGGGTTAGCTTTTGAGGATGCTCCAATGTAAGCAATGGGTATAAACAAAAGCTAGTGGTACCAGACCAGTTGATATTTCCTGTAGGCAAATGGGACGAAGGATGTAAAGACTGAGATTCACAACTTTTTGTTCTTTATTCATCCTGGTGGAAAACAAAACGCTTCACGATATGAAGCTGAGGTTTGGGGAATCGGTAAATAGAGGGACGTAGTGATTTTGACACCATCTCTAATATGATCGAGTTGGACCATTTGAAAATCCTTTTAGACATTTTTATGTTCAGGAGGAGATGATAGATACTTGTCACGGATTTAGATGAGGGGTTGCTGACTTTTACAAAAGGTCAGGATTTTGGTTGGGATATTGGTTCGGTTTTATTTTAAATCAGCTTAATTTTGGTTATTTTGGACTGGTAGGATATCAGTTTCATATGAATAGTGGGGATTCCAGGATGACTTAGATGCATCAAGGAGGGGATTCACACTTTGCATTAAGTTCTGTCTGGTGGAAGGGAATAGGGAAGTGGACGTTCTCAACAACTGCTAGAATATTGCACATCTCACGAGCTTCCACTGGCTAGCAAGCGCGTCCAAGCGCTCTCACACGCATGCACCCGTCTGCACGCGCCTGATATGTCCCTCTACTGTGCTGGCTTCTCCTCATTCGTTAGCACTCCGTGATCTGGTGCGCAGCGCCGCGCCAGATTACTCATCCGTTGACCAAACCGCATTAACAGTCCAGATGCCCAAGCACACCAGATTTCCATGCGCCGCACCACACCCAGTTAGCCCACCATCCATCAACTCCACCTACGACCCATATTAGCGAGTACACCCTCTTCCTATGTACACGTCCAGATAGGATTATTCGCTGATCTATCAGAACCATTCTATGGTCCTAATGTGAGTGCACTGAATTGCATTATGCCGCGCCGCACAGAATCCAATCCCCTTTGTGCGCCGATGCAATTGTAAGCTCTAGTATTTATAAACAGCCCAAACATTATATAACAGACTTATATAATTACCAAAAATTATATAAAAGGAATTCTAAAAATCTGAATCATATATAAAAAAAAAAAACCCAGAAAATTTCAGAAGAATCCAAATACTATATTTAACATATTTAATAATTTAACCTCCATATAATATGATTAATCGTGCTAACATGATTAAATCATCCTTTAAAAATTTCACAAATTAAAATTTGAATATCCTAATAACACATACGTACACATGATTAAATCTATATATTTGCAAATGATAAATGTGATCATAATAATCCGATTAACAAAATATTTTAATTAACTAGATAAAAAATAAAATATAATTTTGATGATTAAGGTGATATGCTTATGAGTTCTAAGAGAAGAAGTAGAGAAAAACTCGCCTGTTTCTTCCAAATCCGACGTCCTATTTCTCTGATCCGGCCTCCTCTTTGTCAGCCCTTCTTCTTCTCTCTAATTCGTTTATTTTTCTAACGTGGAAAACTTTTAACCCTAAAGTCTTATGCGTATATTTATGTACATTAAAAATCTAAATCCTTTTCCAATTATGACTACCAAATAAAATAATAAAAAATAATAATCTTTAAATAAGAAAATATCTACACACACATATATTATAATATATATATATATATATTTCTTCTATAAATAATCATTAATGTGTATATATATATATATCATTCCATAATGATTATTAATTAATTATATTTATATACATATAATTATATATATATAATTATAGAAAGATAATTATTTTAAATATCTTCATAACCATGAGTCTTTATTAACTAACCTAATAAGGCTTCATTCAAGCCCAATACCACATCCATTGGTCCCACTCCTTTTAAGCCCAAACCAATTAACTTAAATAATTAAAATAATTAAATTAAACCTATTAAATACAAATAATTCATAATAAAATTACACAAGCTTAAATACACACAAATCAAATAAACAATTTACTCATAACATTCCACAAATCAAACACCATATAAATTTAACAAATAAAATTAGAAAATATAATTTAATTAAAATAAGACAATTTATCTACGCACTGAATTAAATAAAACAAATCATTTAAAAATAAAATAAAAGTAATTAATTTTAATTTAATAAATCCTTTAAAATATCAAGGTTTTACATTGAACTTCATCACGTTCGTCAACAGGATAATCCCATATTTGATGACGTAATCCTGGATCACGTTCTAAAAAGGTAGGATCAACTTTCGTATGTTCAACTCTTAGAGATTTTGGAGGACGCTGGTTATCATGAATCGAAACATCAACATTAGAGGCGGAAGCCGCGGAAGGCACATCATTTTTTTGAAAAAAAATAGTCAATAGTTCTTTTTGGCTTCACCATCGTATAATACTGTACCTAAAGAGGGTAATTCAAATATAAACTTTTAATACATAGGGATTTACATTGTAATTTAAACCACCGATCCTAAATTCCTAATAAGCATAATTGAGTAAAAATAATATTGCACCCTCATTGCATATTAAACAACTAATTTAAAATATAAAAAAGTTATCACCCACAATTGTGCACCTGTGCAGTGTCTAAAAAATAAATTGTGCGCATGTGAAGTGTCTAAATAATAAATTGTACGCCTGTGAAGTCAGCTTAGAATTTGTATATATAACAACACTTAATTATGCAGACTAATTCAAAATCAATTAAGAAGAAAAAATAGGAAAAGATATGTTTTAGAAGAAAAAAGTGTGTACCAATTAAGATTTTCAGAGCCTCCGTGATAGTTTCCCTCGAAATATTATGCAATTCTGCTCCTGAGAATCTGAGATGTAAAAAGTTATAAACATTTGCACCATTGAGATATAGAAATGAACAAATTAGACACAAATCAAGCAGTCAAGCACTTTTTGCTAACACAAAACTAATTCAAAGAAATAAGGAGTTAAGAACCATAAGGTGACTTGTAGAGATAGAGAGAGAAGATGAGTACAAAAAAGAGTCAATTCAAAATCAGTCAATTCAAAATGGGTAAACTAATTCAAAATCAACAGGTACAATTAGATACACAAAATCAGTTAAAATTCCAACACAGAGTTAATTACAGAGTCAAATTCAAAGAAATAAGGACCATAAGGTGACTTGTAGAGACAGATTCAAATAAATAAGGTGTGCTCAGTACCTGGTCAATTGACAATTACAGAGTCAGAGAGAGAAAATGAGTATGAAAAAGATAAAATAAGAATTATGAAGATTGAGGACTGCAACTATTAGCCGACGGTGATGCAAACAGTAGGGGCAGAGGAGAAGGTGAAGAACAGAGGGCTAGGGCAAGAGGCAAGGGCAGAGCTGTGGAGGAAGGGGGAAAGGAAATTCTGGTTGTTCGCCCTAATTTGCGGACTGAATGTTTTGGGGGTGGGGGGGCCAAGTGTACTAAAATAATATATATATATATATATATATATATATATATATATATATATATGTATGTATGTATGTACACTAATAAATAAATAAAATAAAAATAAAAATTGGGGGGCGTGGCCCACCCCTCCCTCCACCCCTGATCAAAGGAACGGGGACGTCTCCCCTAGGACAGCAGCCAAGGGTGGTAAAATATTTTTGGAGGAAATTCTTTTCATTTTTTAGGTATTTTTTTTTTATTATTGTTTTGGTATTTTTTGCAAAGGTCTAGGTTTAGGTCAAGTTTATCTTTGTTATTTTCCTAGTTGGTACTCACACGCACTTGTCTCTTCTGAGACTTGTACCCCTGACCTCCCTTTGAGAAGTAAGAGACTGATACTGCTAGGCCACTGGCCCGTTGGTGTCTAGGTCGAGTTTATCGAGTAGGGTGTGTAAACTAATTTGTCAAAAATTGATGGTAAGTTATTTTTATTAGATTTTAATTTTTTTTTTCTTCGTTAATATTTTATGACAACAAACATTAAAAAATAAAAACATATTTTTTGAAAAAATATTTTACATCAAAACAAACATAGCCTAAATTTAAGACTTACATTTAAATATTAAATGCATATATCATTTTATCCTTGATTAACGGCAACTACACGGAGGTAGAGTTTTTTTAGATTCTAATGCTTTTCCCATAGAATTTACTAAATTACTAATATATGATTTAGAAATTTAAAAGAAAAAAAAATGTAAAAAATCACTAGTCCCATGTTTTTTCCCGATGGGCCCGGCATATTTGTAAGCAAATTTAGTTTATGATTGAACAATAAATAAAATACAAATAAAATAAATACTCATAAATTATTTAGATATAAAACACAAAAAAAAAAAAATCAAATAAAATAAATAATCTGAAATTATTTACCTTACTACTGCTTGAACCTCTTCAGAAACCATAATCAGATTGAAATCATCCGCCAGTGCTTTATGTGATTGGTTTCTTAAAACCCTTTGCTCGCTCAACCACTGCTTAAGTTTGAGTGTGTGTTTCCGGAAGGTTGACCATTTGATAATCCCTATTATTCATAAATCCCTATTTTATTTTAGAATGGGCCCGGCATATTTGTAAACAAATTTAGTATATGGTTAAAAAATAAACAAAAATAATATATAAAACACAAAAAAAAAAATCAATTAAAATAAATAATCATAAATTATTTAGATATAAAACACAAAAAAAGTAAAATAAAATAAATAATCTGAAATTATTTACCTTACTACTACTTGAACCTCTACATAAACCACAATAAAATTGAAATTATCCATCATCGCTTCCATTGGTTTCTTAAAACCCTTTGCTCGCTCAACCACTGCTCAAGTTTGAATGTGTGTTTCCGAAAGGTTGACCATTTGATAATCCCTATTTTATTTTAGAATGGGCCTGGCATATTTGTAAGTAAATTTAGTATATGATTGAACAATAAACAAAAATAAATATATAAAACAAAAAAAAAAAAATCAAATCAAATCAAATAAATAGTCATAAATTATTTAGATATAAAACACAAAAAAAGAATTCAGATAAAATAAATAATCTGAAATTATTTACTTTACTACTGTTTGAACCTCTTCAGAAACCATAATCAGATAAAAATTATTTGTCAGCGCCTCCTGTGTTTGGTTTCTTAAAACCCTTTGCTCGCTCAAACACTGCCCAAGTTTGTGTGTGTTTCCAGAATGTTGACCATATGATAATCCCTATTTTTCATAAATTCCTATTTTATTTTAGAATAGGTTTGTTATATTTGTAAGCAAATTTAGTATATGATTGAACAATAAACAAAAAACAAATACATAAAATACAAATAAAATAAATAATATGAAATTATTTACCTTACTGCTACTTGAACCTTTTCGGAAACCATAATCAGATCAAAATTATCCGTCTGCGCCTCCTATGATTGGTTTCTTAAAATTCTTTACTCGCCCAACCACTGCCCAAGTTTGAGTGTGTGTTTTCGGAAGGTTAGCCATCTAATAATCCATATTATATATTCATAAATCCCTATTTTATTTTAGAATAGGCCCGGCATATTTGTAAGCAAATTTAGTATATGATTGAACAATAAACAAAAACAAATATATAAAACACAAATAAAATCAATTAAAATAAATAATCATAAATTATTTAGATATAAAATACAAAAAAAAAAAAAAAAACAAATAAAATAAAATAATATGAAATTATTTACCTTACTACTGCTTGAACCTCTTTAGAAACCATAATCAGATTGAAATTATCCGCTAGCGCATTGTGTGATTGGTTTCTTAAAACTGTTTGCTCGCTCAACCACTGCCGAAGTTTGACTGTGTGTTTCCAGAAGGTTGACCATCTGATAATCCCTATTATTCATAAATCCCTATTTTATTTTAAAATAGGCCCACATATTTGTAAGCATATTTAGTATAAGACTGAACAATAAACAAAAATCTAAACTATTAGATGGAACTAACAACCAACCGATCAATATATATATTCATTTACTTTTCTGTCCAAATCCAACATAGGATAAAATGATAAACTCCCCTCGTTACATTTATCCATAACACACACTTTCATGAACTATAATTGCGGGTACCTGTCAAACTCAAAGAGTCGTGACCACTCAAAAAGTATGAATTCTTATGGCTTAATAGCAGCAATTAAGACGATGATAGGTTTAAGGGTCCAAAATTGCCTTTTGTAGGGAACAGTTTTGTATTTGGGGTTAATTTCACTGACACCCCCTTAGGTTTGGCCAAATA